GGGAACAATTGTCTTACAAAGAGGAAGTCGGTTGAAACTCGTCAAAGTGAAGAAAGACATGTTAGTTACAACATGGACTTATTACTCAGATAATCATGACTACTATAAATTGCATCAAACACGTATATATGAAAAAGATTTATGAAACTAACTAATCTATGACAGCGGTAACACCGACGTTTGCTAATTGTGACAGTTTTATTAGCTAAAATAATAGTCATCTGAATAGAAATAAGAGAGAGAGAGAGAGAGACAGAGAGAGAGAGAGAGAGAGGGGGAGTGCTAGAAATAAAAGGATTGGCCATGGATAAAATTAAAACTAATATGACGTCAGTGTATCAAAGATTAAACCAATCATTTTGGAATAAAAAAAATATCATGATTTAGATTACTAACGCAAAATGAATCTAACATAATCATAAGGAAAATAGGGGAAAACGAACAAAGTCCCCGAGAAAAGTATAAAGCGAATTCTTTCAAAGATCTTCACTAACATGGAAATGTCAATGGAAATAAATGAAATGAAATGAAATGAAATGAAAAAAAAAATTATATCATTGTAAGAACTAAAGGATAATTATCACTTTTAAAATTCAAATTAGACAAATTATCTTCACTGTAAGCAGCTTACGATCTGTAGCAACATTTAATTGCATCTTAACGAAAGACACTGCCCTTTCAAGTAAATCGTTTCCGATGTGTTTTGTACTCTTTTCTTTTCTTTCCTTTTTTTTCTCAGACAATTATTTATTTTCCCTAATGGACAAGTTTTTTGTTCAAATCATGATAGAGGCCGGCGAAGCGTAATTTTGATGGAAGAGCCTTGTCTTTCTAAAAATGAAATATTCAATCGTAAACATAATGCACTGGTCAAATACTTCTGTAAAGCAAACTTCAAATAAAAAGCATCAGAGTGCAAAGTGAAAATGAAGGAGAAGAAATTAAAGTATAAAGAAAAATCAACAAAAACAAAAAGCAAACAACCAAATATAATGTAGAAAAAATATTGAAACAAATAAATGCACCTAGGGGGATTTTTGTCGTAGAAACATCCACAAATAGTGATCATGTATGAGAGATGATAATACAAATATTAAATACTCCAAGTAAAGCTGGCTTGGGGTAAGACAATTGGATCAGATTAAAAAATGCTAAAATAGGTATTTTTTATTTTTTAAATCCAATCTGTGCCGCAAGGTATTTAGAAATATGTCACGAATTATATTTTTGAATTTGGAATTTCATGTTTGTTTTATTGTGAAATTGGGCATAAAACATATTCAATTACAATACACTTCAGAATGAAGCTACCTGTTTCTGTTTCAAGAAGACAAATGAATTTCTTTTTAATGCAAACATATTGTTCACAACACTAATACTTACTCTCTAAAAGAAATCGAGTGATCACGGACGTCACTCCTCTGGAGAGTGAAAATGTAGTGAAAATAGAGTGAACATTCACTCTTTTCTTCTTAGAGAGCACTCTAAAATCAATCGATTTTCACTCCTAAACAAGTGATCACGGACGTCACTCCCAAGAAAGTGAAAATAGAGTGAAAATTCACTCTTTTTTTAAAATATAGGCACGATTTGCCGCCCAAAGCACAGGAGGGGTTAAGAAAAAGCGGATAGACGTATTTACCAGGTGTTTTGTTGCCACCTAATATCTCGATCGTGTTCGCACTACTAGTACTAGCATGACTAGCTTGACCGGTATCCCTGAGGGTCCCATTTTCTTTCATTTCTGGCAAAGTATTCTCCTTTGTCCCGTCTTCTTCCACAGATTCGCTGATGAGAGAAAGAGAAAAATATCAACATCTAAATATCATATGAGAAATATTATAGGCGGATCGAAGAGTGGATCGGGGGGGGGGGGGGGATGCGGGAGCACAGCACACCCCAGCAGAATCAAACCTGACAAGGCTTATTGCAGTAAAATAAGTATGTAAAATGTAAACAGATACTGTGCTCCTTCTTGTGCCCCTCGATAGCTTTGCAAACCCTATCAATACTCGCAAACATTATTATGACGTTATTTTATTAATATATTGATATTAATGATTACTACATATATCAGCATTAACTTTTAAAATGCATGCAGGAAACTAAATAAACGGTTTGTATATATATGTAAATGCAGTGAAAGGGAAATTGTTTAAGTCTTGGTGAAAACAAAAGTATTATAATACACCCCGATTGCTTTTCTCTGATAGGATCCTGATGAGTGAAACATGAGCTCGTGTGAATACTGTTGTGGATGGCATTTGCCTTTATTTTCTCTTTTTTTTTGTTTTTTGTTTTTTGTTGGGTATTTCATAAAGAATGTTCTTATTTTATTTAAGCATAACTTACCGTTTGAAAAACTTATTCTCATTGCGCATTGAGGCTGTTGTAGCCACCAAATACTCGAGATAGCCTTGGCCTATGCCATGGCACCTGTGTGGCAGGTGACATTTTGTAACTTATGCGTGCAAAGAATGACATAATGCAAGATAGAGGGAGGCACAGTGCATTAGAACTCGATTTTCTTTAATATTTGATCATCTCGTAAACTGTACCAATCAACATCAAACAACGCAATTTACATTATTCTCAAGTCACCGCACTAATGGCAACACCAATAGATTTCTAATTATGGGGCGGGGGCGGGATGGGCTTTAAGCGAACATGCTAACATGATTGAAAGGGAATATTATATCATGTTGCGAATAGTGGGTCAAATGTTCTGAAACAATATTTTAAAAGTGCACATGGGGGGTCACTGCCCATCCCTCCCTAGCTCCCTCCATCTTCCCCATTCTTTAGCCGCATTTATTACTAATAAGGCAGTATATTACTTTAAATGTTTACGTATTACTGATAACGAATTCTAGGAAAGATTGAAAAATAAAAACAAACGAGCAATCAAGCAGAATATCTAATCTAAATTATGAAAACAAATGAAGATCTTAAATTAACAAATTAAACAGAATGAGAAAAAATTCACGCTGTAAAACAAAAAATGGGGAAAAGGAGAATAAAGGGCTTAAAATGAATGAAATGAAGGAGATGAAAATGAAAATGACAATAAATAAAACAAAGAATAAGGAAGGAACAATTGATAACGAGAAATATCAGAAGAAGAAAAATTACTTCAAGAAGAAGTAGTGAGGAGAAGACGAATGATAATAAAGAAAAGAAAAGAAAAGCGAAAATTGAAGAAAAAAAAAGGAATAGAAGAGCAAAAAGTAATAACAATAAGAGAATAAGTGACAAGGAAGAAGGTGACGAACCAATTTTAGTATCATGTTTGAAAGTGAAAATGTAAAGTACGGCCTACTTATTTAAGCTAGAATTGCCGTAAAAAGGAAATATATGCCTACATTTTGATGTCCTCAGCCCCTAATGATATAACTTTCTCCATCGCTGGACTTGGCGACGTTGTCATCTCAGAAACCTCCTTCTTGTTCTTTCCTTTGCCCCATGCCTCTGGTATTCCCTGTAACTCAACCGGTTGACCCGTCTTTCCATGACCACTTCCCATTTTCAGATTATTAACTTAAAAGCGATCAAGGCCTAATTCTTCATTTTCTTTTCTTGGTCAAAACTAATCTATTAATGGATTAGCCCCAATACCTGCTCTACTCTGTTTTCTTGAAGTGTTTGCGACCTTTCTTACTCCATGGGCAATTTAGTACGCATTGTCATGGGAGACGCGCAGGTGCGCATGCGTACTTAAATCATTTACATTGTTACGTCGTTGAGAGACCCTGAGTCGTGAGCACACCTTTGTTACGTCAGTCAGTGCGCGCTTCTTTCCTCCCGGGTCACTTCCCTGTATTATGCCATTACCACTGTGTTTAGTTTATCTATTATGTTCCTTCTTCGTCTCTTGTTGAACAGTTTGTTGTCTTTTTAAAGAGCTAATTCCTCATGCCCTCGTTCGCTTTATTTCGCCCATTCGTGTATGAATATTTTGATTGATATTTGTATTGGTCCTTCTTATTTGAATTAGGTTTAAGCGTCAATTTATTATTTACAAAAAATAAAACCAAATAACGGATAAAATGCAAGGGATTAAAATTCAAACAAATATGGAATACAAATTTGAATACAAAATACATCCTGTAGGATAATTGCGCATCACTTAAAAGTCTTAAAATCAGCTGTTTCTATTTAGTCCTTGATTAATTTATTATTCAGTGTTTCAATTTTTTTTAAACCGCGAGGCCCCGCTTGGTAATACATGTACAAGGTGGCCATGCGAGATACATTAATGCGTCACTAAGATTAAGCTAATGATTGCAAATGATCAATTACCTGAAATGATCTATTTGATAAAAAAAAGCACCTCATTCAATTGCAAGAGATTTAGATTTCCACACATTGAATGAATCAGTCATTATTTTATTACAGGCAATTTTCCTTGCAAATTCTAAAATGCATAGACCCTCTGTCTATGCATTTTATTAAAATAGCGCACCCCGTTTCCATCTGTTCTCTCTCTCTCTCTTTCTCTCTCTCCATCTCCCTCTCTCTCCCTCCCTCTTTTTTTTCTTTCCATCTCTCACTATCTTCATTTTCATTTCTAGTTTTTAACTTTGTTACACCAAATATTTTATATAGCATTCTTTGGTTCATCATACCCTAGTCTCCTCCGAATCTTACTTCTCCTTCTCCCCCATCTCTCTCTCTTTCCTTTCTTCTCTCCCTTTGCTCTCTTTCTCTGACAGTTTTTGTTCTCCATTTTCTCTATTATGTGTCTCCACACTCTCTCCCCTTCTCTTTCTCTCTCTCTCTCTCTCTCCTCTCTTCCCCCCCCCTCTCTCTCTCTCTCTCTCTCTCTCTCTCTCTCTGTTGATGACATAGAGAACCAGGCAGGCACCGTTGGGATTTGTGCTCACGGGACGTTCTCCGAGTTGCAAGCATGCATCTCACGGCTTCGGAACGAGGCATCCACGCTTTCCGCATCGTTGCGTACGATGCTCATTTGGCACCCACCCATCATCTCGTCTTCTCCTCTCATACCTCCTAACTTCTCCTTCCACGGTAGATACCCTATGCCCTGAAGGGAACCGGATGATATTTAACGTCTGAATACATTATCACTTTCCACCGTTTGACTTTCCAAAGCGCGGGCAAGAGTTTTCTGCGAAAATCAATTGCTACGATTTTCATCGAACGCTTGCTCAAAATCGAGTTTGTCGACAGAAGTAGTGAGTTGATCGAAACGTCGAAAAACGTCGCCAAACTCAAATATATTACACCAAATTGGTTGACGCGAAGTAGGGATAGTTTTCACAATCGGAGGGTGGATTTTTCCGTCTAGCAACAATGGCGGGAAAAATGTTCCAAGCTTTGGTGATCGTCTGCGCGACCATCCTAATGTGGACTACTTATTCTAACGGTTCGTCAACCATCATTGTTGGTAAGTATCCATTCTAATAGAAATAAATAGTTGATTGAATGCATTATTTATTAAGCAGTGATGAGATGTAGATTGCTTATTTTATTTTAACAAACTACATATATGAATAACTATCAAATTTAGAAGGCCCCTACAATCAAAATGGCGACTCTCCGTGGATATCATGCACAATGTTCTTGAACATAGTGAGAGTGAGTTTAAATGCTGCTTCCTATGTGAGACTGCGCTTGCCAAATTTATTTCACATAAAGTTCAGTAGTAAAATTTAAGAACTTGTAAAAAGATGTGCAATTGATTTAAAAATAAAAAATAAAGATGCCTTGTAAAAATCGTTAAAAAACAGTATTAAGTAAATTCGTGGTAGTTCGTAAGTGTTAGGTTTACATTTGAAGGAAAGTCATAGCATAGATTTTACGATATGTGAGTTAATTTGATAATGCATTGCCCAATGATTTATGTTATTGGAAATCACAAGTAAGGGATAGGGGAGGCCGTTAAAGGGGCCACTCTTACCAAAACGGGTTAAAAAAAATGTGGGGGGGGGGGGGGGAGACATGTAGACGAATTTTTAAAGGAGATTCCAAACATGACAATGATTTTCCTTAAAAGTCATTTCTAATTCTGGAATCTAGCATTACAAATGACGAATCAAAACGCTCAGAAAAAAGAGCAAAGTTTCGGAACTGCAGGACCCTCTCCGGTGAAAAGGAGGGTGATTTAGGCATCTTTACAAAGGCAAACTATGTTATAAATTGGAGAAAAAGACATTTATTCGAAACATAATATGCACTTGATTATCCCAGTACGTTTTATTTATGAATTACAATGAGATTGTAAGATCCTTAGTTGTAGGACAAATCGGGCATGCCCGCAATGACGTCAAATGCGTCATCAGGGCCACGTGACCGTATTACCCTTTTTCGTGGGGCGTAGCCCAGCAAGCGTGAAAACTGCGAAAATGGATGGTTATTATCATGTTTTGGTCAACACAGAGATTTTCTGAAAAAATCAGAAGCTGGAATATTAATAAGTAGAGGTGTATTCATGTTTTAAAAGGCTATGTTAGTTGGGTTAGAGTGACCCTTTAAACTATTAGCATGATTAATGACAATGATAATAAAATGAAAGTTGTGTTATGGGAAAGTTAAACATGAGTTGTGAGCTTTATATTTTGGGTAATGCTTGTAGAGATGTCAACTGAAAGAGATGGCCATCCATGTTTCCTCATATTGGTAATAACGACAAGAGATATTTAAAGGTAAAGACCAGTTAGGGTCATGCGATTGCATTGTGAAAGAAACGTTGTGGAATCGATCAGAAAAGGTTGATCATCTAGCATCTAGCATCTGCAAGGTTCTGGAATCATCAAGATGATAAGAAATTTGGCCCATTCTTCGTAAAGTTACAAGCACTATACACAGAAAGATGTATATGGGACTACCCTATATCTCTCACAGACCATGAGAGAAACAAATTTACCAAATATATGAATTAGGAGGCGGTTTCCCGGCAAATTTTTTATCATCATGTATTAGTCAAAACATATTCTTTCACATGATTGGTAATGAGAGCTTCCATTTCATTTTTTGAAATTGGGGCATTTCCAATACTGGTCTTTACCTTTAACTATAGTGTTCAAACGAACGTTCATGCCACCGGTGTTCGTGTAGTACCATGTACACATTTTTGTGTACGGTGCTTTGAGGTAATTAGAATTAGGCCGTTCCCGATTTCTTTTTTCAAACAGTTTATAGCGATATACATTACTATTTCGTAGTTAAACCATATTCTAACACTGACACATTTATTTCACAATTTAATTGCATAGTCATGATGATTACAAATAAACGTTGTATTTAATGTCTGACAATATTTGACGAGAACAAAAGGCTTTAATATGTTATCAACCATGTTTTTTTGTTGTTATGCCCAGCCCAAGAATCAACCCCCCCCCCTCTCGAGTAGTAATATTACATTTAGATTCATCATGATCTAAAACTTGTTTACTTGAGTAGGTCTATACCAAATTTCCCAAAATTGGTTAGAAAATAGTGGTCGTTTTTTTTAACCATGTATTTATTTGTTTCAAGCGTCAGATTCGGGTTTATTATATTTAGTTCAATTGAAGAAGAAGAAAAAAAGGAGAAACATAACAATAACAATGAATGAAACATAAAGGAATACATGATGCAATACGTAAACAAAAGAAGCAGGATACATAATGGAGGTGCGGCTATTAGAGAGGTACAAGAGCCGAATGACGTAAACATGAGATCAATATGAACTGAATATATATACATTGATTGAGTTATGAAGTGGAAGTTTCAGCATATATTATCCTCTCTTAAAACAAAAGTCATATAAACAATTAGCAAGAACACCTGTAACTACCGAGTGAGTCAAAAAAAAGTTTACACCTAGAAAATTGCTAATTATTTTAAAAATCATCTATGAACAGTAAATTAATGTACATCTTATGAAAGATTGTTTTATCCCAAATCATTTGGAACCATTTTTGTGTGGTATGTGTTCACGCTTGGATGAACAGGTGGCATTGTTTACGAGAGTGCAAAAATCGACTTGCGCCAAAGTGATGCCTACAGTATGTATTGTGTTGGGATTAGCGGAGTGAGAGAATGGATTGAATGTATCAAATGAAATGCATTGCATATGTTTTTTTGCAAAGGGCAAAGACACACACACACACACCCACATACGCGCGCACAAAATGTTCGCTGATATTTGATATTCGATATTTGATATGTGTGGCATGATTAATTTCGTTAGGGATGTTATTTGGACCTGCAAGGACCGAATTAATACCCAAATCCCAATTGTTTTATTCAAACATCACATAGGCAACTTTGGCGCAAGTCGATGTTTGCACTCTCGCAAACAATGTCTCCTGTTCATCCAAGCGTAAACAGATATCACACAAAAATGGTACCAAATGATTTGGGATAAAACACTCTTTCAAGACATATAACAATTTAATGTTCATCGATGATTTTTTTAAAGCAATTTTCTAGGTGTAAACTTTTTTTTGACTCACACTGTATAGGTACACGATAATACAACAATACTACTCATATTTGTATATGTTAGATAGTTGTAAGTGTTTGATAATGTTTATAATCTTGCTTCTACTTTGGGAGAAATTGGTATAAAATACTATCGCCTCAAAATTTTCTCGGTTTTAGTCATGATTTCTCCATTCCTTATAAAAACAACAACTTAGGCTTTTACCTTTTGTTCATAAAAAATAATCATTAATGTAGTAATTTAGAAAATAGATCAACGGTCACACTGGTATAATTTGTTTTTATTCCTTGAAAATATCCGATGTGCCGTAAACTTTTGACACTAATATAGCTGTTGAACTAGATTTACCATATCTATTTTATTGTGCACCTGCGTCCTGTATTATATGCCACATTGTATGACTTAGCTTTTATACGTGCACCGCATTATCCAAAATGATTAATAGGAACTTTGACAATTATTCTTCATTATATATCAAACAAAAAACCTCAAGCGGTTATGCCGTGTACACGGAAAAGCATTACATCATCATGGTGGTTAATGCTTGTTTATACATTTCTTTCTTCAAAGAGAGATGCACTCAATCGCAAATACTTTCAACAACAAACATCCCTACCGCAATTCCTATACTCTTTTATATTGACAATATGGTTAGGTAATATTAAAGTAACATAAAATAATATTAATTTGAATTTTTTAAATTATTCATCCTCATCACATAAAAACAAAATCAGGCAGTTATTTTCTAATTGATTACCGTACTATGATCAAGTTTCTAAAATAAACAAACTGAGTTCCTCCAACCATTTTCCGTCTTCTAAATTCGAATAGCATATCAGAAGATCACCTTACAATCAATTGCTTTTTTTTTTTATCTACATAGTTCTATTTGTTACGATCAATTTGTAACTTACGATATATTGTTTTACTATCTGTACCAGTACACTTATTGTATAAAATTACCACTTGTTATATAATTACAATAGACTAGCCCTGGTGTTAACGTACATTTAGTTCATTTGTGTGTCGATCTATATTTCCATAGTTATAGCTACATACTCATTCCGTAAATGTACTATTCATGTGTGCTTTATGCGCCCAATTAGGTTACGAGGTTTGTATGTATTGCCCATCGTCATAAATCCAATGTATTTCGTGCTCAGCATGCTAGCTTTTATGATTCCAACGGTGATGCGCGAAAAAGTTGTTGAAATATATACCTGTGTGTTTTCACCAAACAGGGAGAAAATGGTACAAATCATACAGACAAAACAAAACATGCTGAAACACTCACATAGTAAACTGTATGGTTTTTAAAAGGAAAATTCATGTCTGCAGAAAAAAAGAAGAATAACAAAGACATCAAAGTAGCGGCTTCGCCACTGTTTATCAAGTCACAGTTATTCTTAAATGAAGCTTGTTTGTGGAAAGGTTATATTTCTTAATAATCTCAGTAATCGCTTTTATAATCACATAGTCACATGTCAATATAACCTTTTAGGATAAACAATAAACTACTTTTGCGAACAAACCCGGTTTATGACAACATCAGTTATAACTATTAAAAAAGATGATGATGATGAGGATGATAATGACAATGATGATGATGGTGATGATGATGATGATGATGATTATGATAAGGATGATGATGAAGATGATGATGACATTTATTAATGATGTAGAGGATGATGATGACAATTATGATGTAGATGATTATGAGTATAATGATGATGATGATGATAACAACAACAACAACAACAACAATACAAATAAAAAATGAAGAATAATTATGATAATGACAATAATACAAATTGTGTCCTGCATATTATGTGGATCGACACGTTGCGCCTTTACCAGGATGAACCTGGGAATCTGTGTTACTATGATGACATCTTTATCATGGGCATTGTCCTATTATCATCGGTAACAATACTAACAAAATATTAATAATTATGATTATGTACCTCACCTTAAAAATCCAGCCAATTTGATTGGTCGAAAATGTAGTCGTGATTTTAGCTATTCCCATAAAATGCCAAAACCGGCCAATAGTCTTTTGAAAAAGCCCTAGGGCCCTTTTCAAAAGACAAATGACCGGTTTTGGCATTTTACGTATAAGCGTGCAATTAATCTCAATGGGAAGGATTTTAGCACACAAACTCGATACGATACGAGTGGTGCGCGATCAGACACCCTATTTTAATTAAGACTAGGTCTCGATAGTGTAAACAAGCTTGATTACCATGATTGGTATTAAGTCGCACATGGATTCTATGACCCTTTTCGGTATATAAAAGTTATAATGACTGCTTTAATATTCGAGGCATAGTTGTTTTTATATGCCCTCGGGGAGGTTTAAATACATGATTGTGCTATCACCCCTCGGCACGCCTCGCGGGGCGATCATGTAACCTCATGTAACCTCCCCTTGAGCGTATAAAAAAAACTATGTATCTCATAGCAGTCAATATTACTATTTTATATACCTCACTTAAGTAATCCAGCCATCTGATTGGTCGAAATTGCATTCATAAACTTTAACTGTTCCCGTAAAATTCCCGGTAACCATGCTTAAAACATTTAATATTTTTAATAACCATGGTTATTAAAAAAATAGGTCAGTCTCCATGGTTACCCCATAGGTTTACATGTTAAAAAATGGTTTGAGCGATGGAGGATACCGTATGTGTGCGAATAATTGGTCGGTAATTTCAATACAATTGAATCTCGATCGATCTTACCGACAATTTTATCTTGCATTGTTGACATGAAGACGAAAATAAACTTCCAAAAACAAAAAAACAACATCTGCCGATAGATCTTGATCTAAGTTCGTGCCAATATGCATTGCAAAAGTAAAAGAAGAGTCCGTATATGGAGCTTTTGCGAAGCATTCATCACACGCGAAGCCGGTTTCAATCCATTTTAATGTATATATCGTACAAAACTGCCAAGCATGTTGATAGCGCGCGATGGCCGAGAGGTCTGAGGCGCTGACTGAAGATATAATACCTTTTGTACGCAAGAGTTCGAATCTCATCTTCGACCAAAAAAAAAAGTATTTTTTATTTTTTATTTTTTAGTCTATTTTTTTCGGCATATAAAAGTATTAATGACTGCTTTAATATTCGAGAAATAGTTGTTTTTATACGCTCTCGGGAAGGTTACAATTGGGCTATTCCCCTCGGCACGCCTCGGGTAATAGCACAATTCTAACCTTCCCTTGAGCGTATAAAAACAACTATTTCTCTCAAAGCAGTCATTAATACTATAATATTCTCTCATCATATTTATTGAAGGTGGTGTCTTCGACAGAATCCGTGACTTTGGCTTTGAGCGCGGTATCATCTCTCATAACACCCAGAAGAACAAGACGAGTGCGTTCCAGTTCATGGCTTATGTGTACCCGGCTCTCCTTGAGGATACCTTCAATGTCACGAGAAGGCGTGAGTATGATCAGATTCCTTCATTTTACATTCTAAATGGATGATATCCTATATCAAAAATGATATTAAAGTTAACAAGTGGTAGGATTAGATAAATTATAATTTCGTTTGCCTTCTGTCCTCTTTGTTTCCTATTGTTTCCTTTCTTCTTTATATTTCTTTTCTTTTCTAGTATTTCCATGTTGTTTTCGTTATTTTTGTTTAGATCGATTGATTGATTGATTTTTTGTTTTATTTTTTTTGTTTTAATTTTTGTTTTTGTTATTGTTTGTGGGGGGGGGGGTGTGAACAATATGAAGGGTTGCAGCTCTCAAGCGTCTCCCATGCACTTACGCCAGTTATCGGGGTTCCAGTTTCAAACTCGAAGCGGTAAATTGGGATTGGGTATATCGTTCATTGAATGATTGCAAACTGAACCCTTAAAGGGATTGGTTAATTTTGTCTCAGATTCTGAAACAAAATCCTGGACTTAGCTAGTGATGCAATGACTTTTACAAGCCGATCGCCTGTCTGATTATCAAGATATTTATGATTGAAAATCAAAATCAAATTTTGCGTTTTCCAAATGGTTTTCTTAACACTACATTCTATTGAAGAAAATAAGTATGGTAAAACCGGTCACTCAAATCTTTTTACTATTTTGATCATTTTGAAGCGCAATTTTTGTAGGGCTTCAATAATAAACCGACACTGATAACACGTAGGGCCGTGCATCTCAGATTTAACATTGTTAAACGATGCCTTTAAGTCAAGAAATTTTTGGATGTAAAATGAGCAGACTACACCAGAAATAGCTACCAACATCAATCGCATATAAGAGGCTTGGAACATGATGAGCAAAAAGAGGCACATTGATAAAGCGAAAATAAACATTGGAAGATGTTCTTTCTCTGATCTCTCTCTGATTTCTCTCTTCTCTCTCTCCCTCTTTCTCTCTCTCTCTCTCTCTCTCTCTCTCTCTGTTGTATTTTTATACACAAATAAATGTACACACACACTTTCCTCCAGCCTTTGCGTACCTCTCTCTTACTTATCCAAGCCCTCCTTTTTGTCACCTACCATTTCCTATCTCTTCCCTCCCTCTTTCTCTCTACCTCTCTCTCTCTCTCTTCTTTTCTCTCAATTTTTCTCTCTTTCTTTTTCTCCCTCTCTCTCCTACTCTCACTCTCTTTCTTTCTCTTTTCTCTCGTTCTTCCTTTTCCCTTTTTGCTCTTCCTTCCTCTTTCCATCTTCACATATTTTGGTTTTTTTCCCTTCAAATCTCATCTTTTATTTTCCACTTAATTGTTAAAATTTCTACCGTTCTTTCTATACGTATCACCTCGATTCTCTTTCTTACAACTTATTTTCTTTACCTTACCCTATATTTTTCAAAACCTCCTTCCCCTTTCTTGACTTTTAAAGAAATTACTTACTTCTTACAAAGTGAGTCTTAGGATGTCACATCTACTCCCTTCTCTCCTTTTTTCCCTCATCGTCATCTTTTCTCCCCTCCCCCTCCTCCTCCTCTCTCTCTCTCTATCTCTGTATGTCTCTCTCCCTGACTGTCTGTCTCTCTCACTCTCTCTTTCTGTCTCTATGTCTCTGTCTCTGTCACTCTTATTCTCTCTTTCACTCTCTTTTCTTTAAAACTGTCTCTCTATCTCTCTCTTTGTTTATCTGTGTGAATATTATATGTCTCACCCCCCCTCTCTCTCTCTCTCTCTCTCTCTCTCTTTCTCTTTCTATCCCTCATGTATATCACAACCTCTCTTCCTATCCATCGTCTTGAAACCATGTGATAGATGCACCCCGAGTCCCTCGGCATAGTGAGGAGATGCAAATCTGAGCATGAATCTTTGATACATCTCGTGAATATTTGATAACCGCCATACCTCATCTCGGCCATATTGATTTCCCTTGCTACCCGACCCGACCCGCCATCCGGAGCACCCCTTTGTAAGAAAGAAAAAAAAATGGATAATGCGATCCACAACCATAATACACTGCCGCCATTATCATCATCATCATCACCATCATCAGATCATCGAACGATAAAAACAACCACCCTGCCGAAGAGCGATTGAGATGTGAAAAAGTCATGATTTTTAAAGGGTGGTAATTTCAGGATATTGTGACGCCATAAGGGTGTTGGAGCCAGGTTCATCTCGCTCTGTTTATTTACCATTCCGCGTGCATTAAGGGGTTATTAGGGTGCCGAGCGAGAGAAAGAAATTATAGATTTGTTCCCGTCTGGCCTGCTTTGGATAATGAACTTTAAGATTATCATCGCATGTTTCAATCAGAATAATTTATTCTGCAAGCGAGGGTATTTACTAAATACTAATGATCCATTTGTATGACGTGTATGTTATGTTAGAAAAGAGAAGTACATTTATGGAAAAATAAAAAATAAAAACCCATACTACATCAAATTTACCCTAATCACCCTCTATTTTTTTTCTTCATGATTTTCTTATTCTATCAATTTTTCCATCATCTCATATTCGACATTTACATTGTTTTCAAAGCAAGTCTTCTACCATTTCCCTAGTCGCAAAATATACCCACGATGCCGAACCAAAAATATACGTATTTTCTGTGATTATATGTATAAACCTTTCAATACATTATAGACCTACTCGTGTATTCCGCAATACAATCAATAGTGAAATAGAGATTGAGTTCAATATTTCTATACAATTTCGATTAATTTTACACGTATCGGGCTTTTAGTATTAGATTTACAGAGAAAAGGGGCTTTTTGGAATTACAAAAAATACACAGCCATGAACTTTAAGCTCTATAGGGGCAAATGACGTCAAAGTACAATAATTAATGTATATTGGGAAGACATTTTGTTTTCTCAACACAGCCTGGGAAAGGTCAGGGGTGGTTGTTGGCGCAACTTTGGTCATTCGACGAGGCGCACAACCGTCGCCGTCCCCAGGTAGAACAATTAAATGAAAAACAAATGAACAAGATGCGAGTGCCTTACTATAAATCATCTAAGAACACCCCGAACTGTAGCGCCCCCAAGGGACGAATTTAATGTGACGGTTTCTATAAATCATGCGCATAAGAGATAACTAGAGAAGATAGAGCGACAGTTGGTCACATGGGCAAGATGATAGTGATGACGTGTATTCTGTCTTCGCTGAAGAATCAAGGTTGAAGTGTTTGAGACATGGATTGCATTGGATAATGATATGATCAAAGAAGTGTGGGTTCCATTGCTGATTAATGAATTGATATCATGGAATAAAAATGTATTCCTTGATCTGTTGGAACCAATCATTTTTTTTAAAACTTCTTTCATACAAATCAAATAACAACAAGTATGATAAAGCAGTGAACTTTTAGACATTTTATTAGAATCATTGAATTTACAGTTTTGAACGATTTTCTGGAGCCGTTTGAATTCCCAATTAATTAAAATTGGATCAACTTGATAGTTTATCTCTCTCTTTATCTCGCACACTCTACCTCCTCCCCGCCTTGTTCACCAAATGCCTTTATCATACTATAGTAGTTGTCGTTGTCGTCGTCGCATTAGTAGTATAAGTATAAGTAGTAGAAATAATCGTCGTAGTAGTAGTAGTAGTAGTAGTAGTAGTAGTAGTAGTAGTAGTAGTAGTAGCGGTAGTAGTAGTAGTAGTAGTAGTAGTAGTAGTAGTAGTAGAAGTAGTAGTAGTAGTAGTAGAAGTAGTAGTAGTAGTAGTAGTAGTAGTAAATTAATACAATATTCACACCAATGAGACCGACACCTGACCGAGCATAATGGTACATGTACATTGCCTCCAATGGGCAAAATTCAGTCGCTCACGAGTCGGCGTGGAGTCGGTTTAACAGTGTGACCGGGGCCATGCAGCTGCATGAGCATGGCCATGATAGTAGTTATGATTAGAGGAATGTCAAGTTAAGGTTCATCATGAAGGTGAACGATCATCGCAATTCTTAATTTCTTTCTTTTAATCCCACCCCTAGTCTGCACACTCTACGCCCAGAACACCCTCATCACCGGAGGTCATTCCAAACAGGTCTGCCTTCCGACCTTCCAGTCCTACGCCAACTATTTCCTCATCCCCTACGTGACGGTCAGCCAGTCCAAGTCGGACATGGGACTGACCATCGGTCCCAGTGACTACCTGGTGTCCATGATGCCGTCTCTGGTCCCACCCGTAGAGGACTGTGTCAAGTACTTCAAGTGGGACAAGTTTGCTTACGTCTACAGTTCAGCTGAAGGTATGCCTTTCAGTTCATATGAAATGACCAGAGCACTTTTGCGAGAAAAAAAAATAAATGCAACTCGAAACGAACAAATAGATATATAAAAACAATACAAAATAAAATAACAATACAAAAATTAATAAATAAATATATATATTGAATTCAAAAATATATCATGAACCAAAGTCCGATATGTTCTGCTGATTTGGTGAAAATCAACTTGTGTATTTTTTTTTAATGCAAGAGGTCCTTGTCACCAATGTATTCTAACCAAAGATTTCCCCCAAGTACCCACCTGTTATGTTGTATTGTTTAATGAACCTTGCATTGGTTGCTACCATGCATGTCAGTCAAATGTCGTACAAGCTTTTGGGTGGCAACGTGCAACTTTTTAGAAGTTTGCATGACACTTGAATACATTATCAAACGTTTGTGGGTCGTCATGTGAGACCTAGACCCCGTTGCATAAAACTTTGCCGTCAATGGCAACTTGTTCTTACATGATTTCGATTATAGCCCTACTTTCAACCATTTAAATGTGTGTTGCACTTATTTACTTGGTTGTATTTTTTTGTTTGTTTGTTTGTTCTTTGTCAGGTTTACAGAGATACCAGACACTTTCACTAAAGTTTCCTCCAAGGAAGTACGACATCATGGTTCGGCGGGTCGGATCCGAAGTCGAGACCCGAAGGCTTCTGAAGAGCTTTCGGGATTCGGGTCGTCATCGTATCATCTTCGATACGTCAGCCAACGACACAGTCCTCGTTCTTAAACAGGTTATTCCTTGACCAATAGAGAGTCTGGCCATTTGTTGACAAGTGGACCTTAAAGCAGGAACAGTTGTTCGAAATGTTACTTTCATTCAGAGAATATAAATGTATAAATAGGTTTAGAACTGTTTTTTTTTGGTTTCACTTTGGAACTATTTGATCTAAAAACTATTTGATCTAAACGGCTTTTAGATCAAATAGAGCACATAAATTATAGTATTTGTATATCGTCAGTGATGCTTTATGGGAGCATCTCTCATGAGACATAATGTAAATTACGAAAAATGTTCGAGTTGCTCTCTTTATCAGCAGAATGAAATTTCTTTAAAAAAAAAAAAGATAAAGTAAATAAACAATGTGCTGTTCTCTTTAAAATAGGTATGTTGTCAAAAGATGGCTTATGACATGTCTTTGTAGATGCCTTTTATTTATTTTGGACGTTTCTATTTTGTCAATTTGCAATTCACAAAGAGCGATGACAAACAATTACGGTAAATTTATTACAAACAAATACGACATAACAATGATATACACGTGTATAATATTATACAAGGTGATTAAATGGCTCAATGTTCTTCGTATATGGTACAGTTTATATACAGTAAACAACTATACCCTTGTAAATTCTTTTATTTTGGTTCTTCTTCTTTTCTTTCTTTCGTAACTCAAGAATGAAAGGTGAACTTGAGACAAAAATCGAGACAAAATCAACTTTTCACATACCTAATAATAATTACAAACCTTTGAAAAGGTATAAATAATTTAGTTGTGAACTACAGGTCATTCCTGAGCCCAAAAGATAACAGGTCCATGTTTTTTGCTTTTGTATTTTCCCTCTTTTTGTTGTTGTTATGTCTATTATTTTCTTTCACTTCCAGGCAAATGTGCTCGGCATGATTACGTCATCATTCCATTATATCTTTCTCGACCTGGTGAGTATATCAAGCATTTCAAAAACCCGAAGGGGATTAGGCATTGACAATTAAACAAAATGCTTCGGATCTTTATAAAGGTATATGTAGAATAAATCGAATGGCGAGTGGAGTACTGGCGTTAAGAACATCTTTGCTCACAAAGCAGATTTCTTTCATGGTTTATCTTTTTTTTTTTGTTAAGGGGAAATAATTCATAACATTAATGAGTAATTCTGAAAATAGCATTAGCCCCTAAAATGTATATAAAAAACGGAAACGCCGCTTACGGAAAGTATTCACTTTACACTCGGAAGAATCACGTAGGATACAAAAAATATATGAAAGCAGCGAAGTAACGATTTCCTCTCCCATATCTCTCTTTCCCGTCTCTCTCTCTCTCTCTCTCTCTCTCTCTCTCTCTCTCTCTCTCTATCTTTCTCATTCCCTCTCCTTCTAAACACCCACACTATATATCCACCCTTCATTTCATCTTATCTCTCTTCTTTTTTATTTCTTTGTTTCCTTTTCTCTTTTTTCTCTCCATCCCCGTCTTTCCAAATACCCCTGTTTTTCTGTAAACCACTCTTCTCTCTCTCTCTCTCTTTCTCTTCCCCCTTTTATGATCATCCATTCCTTCCCTATCTCTTCTTTTTACTTATCCCGTCTCCCTCTCCTCATCGTCCCTGCCTTCTCCTCATCTCCCTCTCTCTCTCTCTCTCTCTCTCTCTCTCTCTCTTGGCTTCTCTGGGTTCAGGATCTGGCTGACGTCAACATGGATAACTTTCTTTTCGGAGGATTGAACGTAACAGGATTCCAGCTCGTCAACAAGACCGACCCCTACTACAAGAACCTGGAGCTGATGTGGTACAAACGACAGGCCTACCTCAGGCAAGGCAATACCACCTTTGACCCCTCACAGGATAACTCCGCTATGGGCTACCCGAAGCTGAAGGTAATACATCCTTTTTTTTTCATTCTTTTATTCATTCATTCATTCGTTCATTCATTCATTCATTCATTAATCCATCCATTCATGCATGCATGCATTCATTCATTCATTCGTTCATTCATGCATGCATTCATTCATTCATTCATTCATTCATTCATTCATTCATTCATGCATTCATTCATTCATTCATTCATCCATCCATTCATGCATGCATGCATTCATTCATTCATTCATTCGTTCATTCATGCATGCATTCATTCATTCATTCATTCATTCATTCATTCATGCATGCATTCATTCATTCATTCATTCATTCATTCATGCATTCATGCATTCATTCATTCATTCATTCATTCATTCAATTATTCATTCATTCATTCATTTATTCATGCATTCATTCGTTCATTCGTTCGTTCATTCATTCATCCATCATTCATGCATGCATTCATTCATTCATTCGTTCATTCATGCATGCATTCATTCATTCATTCATTCATTCATTCATTCATTCAATTATTCATTAATTAATTAAATTATTCATTCATTTATTCATTCATTCATTTATTTGTATCTGGAATTTAAGTTATGATATCATTTTTTTCAGTTGAAAATCGAAATATTTGTAATGTAATACAGTAAAAATGTAAAAAGCACATAAATGGCTTGTAAAAAAATAATCCTCATAAAATATACAACATTACGATAACTTTGGTACATAATTTACATAAAATCAAGTTTACAAAAACTGGTAAAGTAACGAAAAAGAAGGAGGAAACATAATTTAAAAGTCATTACAGATTTGCATTGAACACATTATTATCATTACTGTTCATTTCATTATCTAGTACAGTATGCCACAGGCTACCCTTGTTGATTTGTTTGTATCATGCGTAATTTCATAAATTACCTTGATTCTTTTTTCCTCTCTCGATATGGTAGACGATGTCGGCTTTGACTTACGACGTCACCCGTGTCTTCTGGGAAACAATCAGCATGCTGAAGAAGAACAAACGACTACCAATCCTAACGGTCAGGGGAGCTAGATCAGTTTTTTTTTTTAGTGTATCATGTAATTTTTGTAATTTACCTTGATTTTTTTCTCTCGATACGGTAGACGATGTCGGCTTTGACGTACGACGTCACCCGTGTCTTCTGGGAAACGATCAGCATGCTGAAGAAGAACAAACGACTACCAATCCTGACGGTCAGGGGAGCGAGGTCCTGCTCGAACCCGGGCTTCAAAAAGATACCGCAGGACAAAGACGTGTTGGAGTATATCAAAATGGTAAACCAGGGCCACGTTTCATAAAACTTGATATCAATAACAAATTACAAGCCACTGTTATAAGCTACTGAAATCATGGCACGTGATTGGCTGAGAACAAATTTTGTCATAAAAATTTAGCATTTGTTATAGATAAAAAGTTTAATGAAACGGGCCCCAGGAGGGAAGAGAGAAATAACGATTTTAAGATAAGGACGAGTTCTAGTAAAGACCAAACAAAAAATGTATAGCTTCCCGATTATTTGAATGTTAGTTTGGATGACTACCACAGTACAAATATGTTCGGATAAAGGTAGCTCTTGAACTGCCCCTATTCTTCAAAACATGACAAAAAATAGCTGAAAAGTTGGGACCAAATATGTATGTGTAGTCCCGTATACCAAATTATGTGTGAAGTGCAGTTGACTTGTTAGCTGGACTGAGTCACTTTCTTATCATTTGTTTAAAGATTACAAAACTTCAGTGTGCATCGGTACCAATTTTCCAGTTATTTCCGAACAGTTTCTTTCACAATACAATCGCATTTACCAGATCTCATATTTAGCTACAATGTATTCATTTAATGAAACGATTTATTAACTTCAATCACGAAATTTTTTATTCAATAGAGTTTTATTTGTTCATATGTTTTATGTATTATGGGAGAGGGGGGGGGGGGCGGGGTTGAATGTATGTCTTCTCACGAACACAGATAAACTTCATATTTCTCTCGAATTGTCTTCTGTAAATGCAATACATGTATGATGTATTTCACATTTCGTTTTTTTCTTCAATTAACACAAAAAATCTAGTTGTCGCTCAAGAGTGCGACAGGAAACATTGAGTTTGACGAGAACGGAGAAAGAGCAAATTACACACTCCGAGTTCTGGGACTTAAACCTTCAGGATTGCAAGAGGTATGTAAACAATAGTTTTTTATTTTCCGCATGCTTTTCTATATGTTTGTGTGTATATAAAGAAATGTATGCAAAGAAAAAGGGAAAAAATGAACCTACATGTTAATGTAGACAAAGGAGGAAAGAGGACATTTGTTTTGTAAGAGTTTCATTTGAAAGTCTGTGAACATTATTCTTTTTTGCCAATTATAGGGAAAACGTGGTTATAATAGGTAGGAGGAGCATTAAAATATGCAGCACATTTATTGGACCTACAAAAAAGTAGTAGTAGTAGTAGTAGTAGCAGTGGTAGTAGAAGAAGTAGTAGTAGTAGTAGTAGTAGCAGTAGTAGTAGAAGAAGTAGTAGTAGTAGTAGTAGTAGTAGTAGTAGTAGTAGTAGTAGTAGTAGCATTATCAATATATTAAGAACATAGACTTTTAGAAAATGAAAAAACTCGAGGAGAGAAATACAAATCATGACATTGAAATACAACCATGGCAAAATTAAAAATAAATAAAGTGTCGTCTTTATTATTTGTTCATCTTTGTAGTGCACCCCACTCCTGCATGTAGATGATCATTTACTCTCTAAAAAAAATCGAGTGATCACGGACGTCACTCCTCTGGAGAGTGAAAATGTAGTGAAAATAGAGTGAACATTCACTCTTTTCCTTCTTAGAGAGCACTCTAAAATCAATAAATTTTCACTCCTAAACAAATGATCACGGACGTCACTCTCAAGAAAGTGAAAATAGAGTGAAAATTCACTTTTCTTTTAAGAGAGTAAGTAATATGTGAACAGGAAGTTAAGATATAAAATATTGATCTTTACAATCATTGTTTATTCCATTCCTTAGGTCGGAACCTGGCTTCCGAATGCGAACCCTCGTCTTACTATCAAAGGAGAAGATAAACAAAACTTCTTACAGGACATCAACAAGACTTTCATCATTACATCTCTTTTCGTGAGTTGATACTGACTACCGTCTAGTTCATAAAGGGGGAGGGATGTAGAGGTGATATCTTCCTATAATTTTGCAAGAGAAAGGGATGAAAGATTCCGAACATTCTTTAGAAATGTGTTTTCTGCTTGTCAGTGACTTTCAGATTTATCGATCCAGGTGATTATTTGTTGTTATTGTCAGTATTTTTTGGGCCTGAACCTTTCAAAATATAACTTTAACTTGCCCCTGAATTGACTTTTATATATGTATATGTGTTTTGTTCGGTCTGTTTTCCACGAATACATTTTGGTATCATTATTAAGTCAGAGTACTATGCAGGTTGCATTTAATTCTTTGTCGCTCCGGTTTGATGATGCTTTGTCCAGGGTTGTGATGTTGAGTTCAAGATCATAGACCATAGCCAGATGAGTTATCTAAAGGACCGAAATGGATTTAATTTTCCATTATAATTGAGGTATACAGGGGGGGGGTTGCTTTGGAGGTATTGCTAGAATAAAATCTGGGTGATACTGGACTAATCAAAGAGCTTCTTCACTCTTGACCTTGACACAGGAGCGACCGTTCATGATGCTGAAGAATGAGAAGGATCGAACCCCTGGAAACGGCATGTACGAGGGGTACTGTATGGACCTCCTGAAGGCTATCAATGACCACCATCCATTCAGGTTCATCATCCGAGTGAGAAACGACAGCGCGTACGGATCGGCCAATGAGAACGGGACTTGGGACGGCATGGTCAGTGAGTTGATTAATAAGGTAAGTCGGTTTCTAAAAAAACATCTGTTACCGTGTTGCCAAGATATGATGCCGAAAATAAGAGTGTAAAGGTATATATTCATTTGATCCTTGACTATGGAATATGCAGGGTAAGGCAAAGCGGTGAATGACCATGCTAGCAGGATCAGGCCAATCCGTGATGCTCTTTTCCAGTACATCTGTGCGCTAATTACAAGAACTTAGAAAGTTGTATTTTAATAATCTTATTGGTAAGAACATATGCTTGATATGCTTGTATAGGTAGGCAACAAGAGGGACCTACGGCTTTGGGCCTTGTCCGGGGGACTCGGTGAATTGATATCTTATTAAACGTATTAAATGACAATGGTAAATCGACTACGAGACCACAAATCTACCACCAAGCGTGTACGTTTCCAAGGTTAATGAAATATTTGGAAGACTTCATTGACTGAAGGAAGAAAAGGGTAATAATGAAGAGGAACATGTTGGTGCAAAGTTTATTATTTAAAGCCTGTCTACACACGTTTTGCCAGGAGTAATTAGACCTCCCTCAAGCGCGTAGCCAGGATTTTATTTTAGGGGGGGGGGGCAGTAGTGAGCACGCGAAGCGTGCGAATCACTTACAGAGCGCTTGCAGCGCGCTAAGTAGGGGGGTCGGTGCAAGGAGGGGGGGGGGGGGGGGGGGGGGGGGGAGGAGCGCGAAAGCATGACGTTTCATTAGATTACTAGAGAAAGAAGGCGATTCGTTGTACCGCTCTCGACTCTTAATCCTTGTCTAAATTCAGTTTCTTTTGACGTTTCATTAAATTATTAGAAGACGATTCGTTGTACCGTTCTTGACTCTTAAAATCCTTGTTTGAATCAACTTTCCCTTCCTCCGCGCGTAGCGCGGAAGCTCTGACATTTCATTAAATTATTAAAGAAAGAAGACGATTCGTTGTATCATTCTCGACTCTTAATCATTGTTTGAATTCAGTTTGCCCCCGCCCCTCCCGCGCGAAACGCGGAAGCCTTGACGTTTCATTAAATTATTAGAGAAAGAAGACGATTCGTTGTACGGTTCTCGACTCTTAATCCTTTTTCTTCCTACGTCTTCTTCCTTTCTTCTTTCTCTCTCTCTCTATTTTTTTTTGGGGGGGGGGGCAACTGCCCCCCCCCCCCCCTGGTTACGCGCCTGAGTCCTCCCTGCTGGTAACTGACAGGTGGTTATCTCATCAATTTTAATTAACATAATAAAATGGGGATCATGGGGACCAACGGGTACTGTTAAGACATTGGTTGCTATAAAGAGGGCGCAAGTAGCTACAATTAATGCAGTCCGACTTTAAGAGTTACAACTCTGTTGTTTTTCCTTCCTCTTTCTCCAACAATGAACATCTATCTAGGAGGCCGACATCGCCGTCGCCCCGTTGACCATCAACTCCGAACGCGAGCGCGTCATCGACTTCACCAAGCCCTACATGAGTCTCGGGGTAAGCATCATGATCAAGAAACCTCAGAACACCCGACCCAGTGTCTTCTCCTTCATGCACCCTCTCTCGTACGAGATATGGCTGTCCATCATCTTCGCCTACCTTGGAGTCAGCGTGGTGCTGTTCCTGGTCAGTCGGTTCAGTCCGGATGAATGGTACACCGTAGAACAGGGTAAGGACGGGTGACCCTTCTTAGCTTATTCACTAGCTTCCCTGTACCCGAAGGCATCTTTATACAGCCTGGATATGTCGGAAATACGAAACATACTAATCGAAAATGCAAAAAAAGATGACTGAAATAATTATACGTTCTGATCTCGCACATAGCATGGCGATTTTTCACCTATAATCGAGTCATATTGTATTGGCTGAAAAGAATTCGTCAATATACATTTAGCTGTTAGCAATGCTCATGGAATTTCCGTCTTTTTAATTAAGAAACTCTAGATGTGCCTTTTTTGATAGTGTGGATGCATGAGAAACTTGATTTGCATAGGTAATATATCCTCATCTTTGTTGTGCTGTAAGGTATTTGGATTCATATCATCTCTTGGAAAATTACTCTTCGTATTAACAAAAACAATCACAGAATTGACACCGTTTCTGTTTTTCTGCAGGAACTTTATCTAGTGCGCCCTCTACGGAAGGTGAGATTGATCGTGTGGAACCGAGAGACAAAAAAGCGAACAACTTCGGGATTCAGAACAGCCTCTGGTTCTCGATGGGTGCCCTTATGCAGCAGGGCTGTGAAGTGTCTCCAAGGTACAGAATCGTGGCGGATAATTTTCTATATTATTCTGTTGCAAAAGATGAATTAATAATTTGTGACATTTTGCTGATAGGTGGTAATAGATCAGGGGAGTGTTTCACAAAGACTAAGATCGACTTTAAGTTGGACTTAACTATGGCAGGTTATTCATGCCACTGTTTGCTCTCACCATTATTATCTGTAGACAATATTTTTCCTTCAATAATACATTATCAAAAATGTAAATTTTTTAGATGTGTGGCCATGCGTTGTACGTCTCTTAAGAAACCTATGCCAGTAAATGGTGAGAGCAAACAGTGGCATGAACGGCCTGCCATAGTAAAGTCCAACTTAAAGTCGATCTTAGTCTTTGTGAAACACCCCCACAGGTTTTGAACTTATTATAATAAGCATAATGCAACGTTGTTTTCGCCATTAAGGGTCAATAACAGGAGGGGGGGGGGCACTGTATTTCATCAAATGTGCATTTACATAGCAAATTTACTGCTATTTTCCTTCTTTGCTGAGCCTAAAAAGGTTCCACTAATTATTGAGTCACCCGTTGCCGTCATGTCAACTAAATGGGGCCACCTTCTTCCCTCTCAGTCCTGGAACTTGACGTCTTGTCTGTCCACACATAGTTGTCCACCTCTGTTTTTATCTTTCATATCTTTCCTTAATGTTAGCGTCTTTTCAACGGAGGAAGTTCTGCAAATGATCTGAATTAGGACCTGGTATTCCTTTTTTTGTCGACAGTCACACTCGATTTAGTTTTTTCCTTTGTCCATATAATTATTTTCTACATATTTTTAGAATTTAGTCCAGGCTTATTATTTTAATCTCTGATTCTCCTATCTCTCTATTCTTTATTTCTTCGATCCTTAGATGTCTCTCAGGCCGAATCGTCGGTGGGGTGTGGTGGTTCTTCACCCTCATCATCATATCATCCTACACAGCTAACCTAGCTGCTTTCCTGACGGTCGAGAGAATGTCCACCCCGATCAACTCGGCCGAAGATCTCGTCAAACGTAAAGACATCTCGTACGGTATTCAAGGAGGTGGGGCCACCGAGGTGTTCTTCTCCGTGAGTATAATTTTGTTGTTTTTGTTGTTGAAATAAATCTTTATTTAGATACGAAATCACGGATAACACCATTGTATATCAAGCACTTCATCACATTTTTAAATGAGATCAAATTATATATCTGTATTTACTTGAAAGCAGGTTGTAAGATTGTAAATCGTGAGTATAATACTTTCCTCCAAACCCCAAAACAGCCTCTTTCATGTTATTCTGATTATGCTGAAGTTGGATGTCAAATGGTACCAAAAACTGGTTTTGCATAACTCATGAAACTTCCAGCGTGTGCAAACACCTGTAGTAACTTACAAGTATTGTGATGTTTGAAATGAAAAAAATAACCCTTTTCGACCTGACCAAAGTAGGTACTGGCCATTTTTGCTGATCAAGTGATAGATTAATCAGGCATAAAAGGCCAATGTGGGAAAGCAATTTTTTTTATTCACTTCACTGTCTCCACAGTATCAATACCCTTCTTCGTTTCGGAATCCATTACAATAATCCCGTTATGTAGTGTTAAACAGCAATCTCCAGATAAAAAAAAACATCTTTAAATAAAAAAAAAGTATTTCCCCTTCATTCTTCTTTTCTTGATCACGCATGGTGCGAGATAGTCATCGAAGATCCCGCTTTACATGACGATGTGGAAGTCGATGAGCTCAGCCCAGCCGTCGCCGATCACCAATTCGTCCGCGCAGGGCATCGAGCGCGTCCGCCATGCCAACGGCAAGTACGCCTTCCTGCTGGAGTCGACGATGAACGAATACTCGAACCAGCAGAAACCATGTGATACCATGAAGGTGGGATCGAATCTCGACTCGAAGAGCTACGGCATCGGGGTCGCCCGAGATCTCACGTTGTTGAGGTAAGCTGACTTGAGTTAGTCCACCTGGGGGGGGGGGGGGGGGGGGTTGTTCACAGAACTTGTCGTCCGTGAAAAATGACAGTGTTTGTTATAAGCTACTGAAATCCTTGCTTGTGATTGGTTATCAGCAGATTTATCACTGATTTTTGTCATTTGTGAAACGGGTCCCTGGACCATGTTTCATAAAACTTGAAATCAATAACGAGTTACAAGCTACTGTTGTAATTACTGAAATCATGGAATCTGATTGGCTGAGAGCAAATTTGTCATAGAAATTTAGCATTTGTTATTGATAACAAGTTTTATGAAACGGGCCCCTGATCCACCCTAACTACTCAAGGGTGCATGGATCAACGGTGTGTATCGGGGACGGGATGGGCGAAGGTGGGGGCACAGTTCCGGAAAATATCTAGTAAGCGAGAAAAAACATTTTCATATGCCCTCAGAACAAAATTAAAAAGAACCTTGAAAAGGAAGCACACTCAAAGAGATACGGTTACGGAGTCGCCCTTAGATATAATCAAATTTAGGAAAGGGAGTTGCTCCTCCTGATATTCCACCTGATCCGACTACCTCATGTATACGACGGAGGGATGGATCAAGTATCTTGTGGAAAGGGGATGGGGAAAGTTCAGAAAAAACTATTTGACAAGCAAGCAAACAAGCAAAAAAAAAAAAATACAAACATCAACAAAAACGAGAAAAAGAAGGAAGAACAACAATACAAAACAAAACAAGCAAGCAAAACATCTTCGGGTGCCCTTTTGGGTCGAACATGGGAAAGGCCTTTATTTTATCTGTGTGTACTTACATGTAGGATATGCAAAGTGGGTTTGAAACTTTGAGAGTAGCAGGCCGGTTGTTGACCCCCCCCCCCCCTTCATCAGCAAGTGATCCAAATCTTAACGCTATAATTTGTGTGTATCCATAGAAGCTTCGCTTAAAATTGAATTAGCATTGCCTCATTTTTTACAGAGATGAATTGACACTGGCTATACTGCAACTTGGCGAAGATGGCGTCCTTGATAACCTGAAGAAGAAATGGTGGTATGACAAGGGAGAGTGTGAGCCTCAGTCGGAATCTATGGTAAGATTTTCTAATTCACAATTTTTTTTTTTCATCTACCCTAAATGTGATGTTACAGATGATTTGCACTCATCGCATGTATTTAAAAAAAAAATCAATAATAGATTTGTGTTTTGGTATGAACTGACAAAATTCCCAAAGCCCTAAAATAAGAAAAAATAATAATTAAAAAATCAATTTAAGAGGTTCATCTTATCTTTCAGATCGTTCTCGATCATAAGTGAATAACAAATTACTGTTTGATAATTACGATCGTTTTTAAAATTGTGTTTATAATCGAAATTGCATTTGAACCCAATGGAACATATTCAAGTTATCATTTTTTTTTACAGATTTAAAGATTTAAAAGATAATTTCAGATTTCTCTCCCCTCCATCTTGGCTTACTATAAGATTTAGCCACGAAACTAAAAGCCGGAACAATCGATTTCTTACAATATTTTCCAGTCATTTTTCTTGAATGCTTCTTAACAGCTGCTAACAGGTTCCATTTCCCCTTCTCCGTTCAATGTAGGACCAAGCCAGTGCTCTGAGTCTCAGCAATGTCGCCGGTATATTCTACATATTGGTGGTAGGAATGGGCGTGGCGATGGGCGTGGCTCTCACCGAGTTCTACTGGCGTACCCGGGCTCAATCTAATAAGGAGAAGGTGAGATTTAGTTGCTGATTCAATAAAAAAAAAATCAAATAAACTAAATGTTTTTTTTTTCAGTGATTTTAACTTTTCCCAAAAGTTATGTGACAAGTTTGGTTCCGTTGGGTACTTTTTCTCTGTTTTGTGCCTTTCAACATTTCCTTTTTCTCTGTCCCCTGCGCTGCAAAATGATCATGAAGTGCCTCAAAAAAGTAAAAATCTTTGGGTGACCGGTTTACCATACTAATTTTACCCAGTGAACTGTAGTGTTATAAAAACCGTTAGGAAAACGAAAAATGAAATTTCGATTTCCAATCATAAATATCTTGATAATTAGAAAGACGATCGGCTTGTAAAAGTCATGGGATTCCTGACTGACCTAAAGGTTGATAATTATGATTGCAGCATGAGCTAAATCCAGGATTTTGTTTCAGAATATGAGGCAATGTTACCGAGTCACTTTAAAAACTGGGTATAATATGATCGCAGGGCCTTAAGGGAGAAGAGTATTAATACTGATGAGTGTTGAGGCTACCCTGGGTAAACAAGACATATTATTATTCTCACTATTATTATTATTGACCCCTTGAAAGGACAGAAATGATGTCTCTTGCATCTCTCACCCAATATAAATGCAACTCTGATTGATGTCATTCCCAAGGGCCCAATACCAACACGTAATCTCTGATTGCTTGTTAAAACAAAATTGCTGTGGAATAACAATGGTACTCGAGACCGCAATCACGTTTTAACCTTCAGCTTAAAGCCCAACTGAATTGTTGGGAGCCCCCAGAATTTGATGGCAAAATTTCACTTAAATTGTATTATAATTTGAAAGAGGATGCCAGTTAAAATACATCTCTGCAAGGATTTTCAAACCAAATGTGCATGAAGTCGGATATTGATAAAATAATACACAATTTAGGTTTTGTGCTTTATACAACAGAAAACTCAAATTATGTATTCTTTTATCAATATTCGTCTTTAAATACATTTTTGGGGCGACATCTTTATATTTAAGTGTGTCTTAAATAACAATCTCTTTCTACGTTATGATACAATTTAAGTGAAAATTTTGCCATCAAATTTTTGGCAAATTTGGGGCTCCCAACACTTTATAGAAGGGCTTTATTTGTCGAATACATTTTAATTGCGGTGGGATAGAAATGGCACTTCAGTCTTTCACATTTCCTCCATTATTTTCGTTTTCAGATATCTTAATCAAATAATCTGAAAGCCAGGATCCGGATATCTGTGACGGTAATTGGGGTATCATGTCAATAAAGAAAAGATATGAAATTTTTTTAAAAAGATGATTAAACAAAATTGAAAAAATGTTTTCACTTTCTGTTGTAGTCATTTGTATGTGAACATTATACATTTAATCTCTCAAAATATATATTCTTATTTCAGATCTCTTTATCAAATGCTCTAAAAGCCAAGATTCGTATGTCTGTGACGGGGGAGAAAGGAATGCCAACTTATCCAATCATGAGACAGGTCAACCCTATGGCCTGCGAGAAGGCGGTAAGTCTAGTCACTTTGACTAAAATTATTCATTTACCGAAGAGTTTGTGTCAGGAAATATTGCAACCACAGACAGGTAAACCTTGATTTGATAATGAAATGTAAATTGCATTTGATGTTTTTTTCTTTCAGACAGATCATTTAGAATGTTGATGATAGATTTGGATAATCACTCAATATCACAACTTTCTTAACTCTCAACTTACCGTTGTGTCTACTGAAAACATACACATACTAAATTAACGAATAATGGGAGGGATATCATGTTATAATCATATGGGCTACGCCAATACGCAGTTCTTTAAGTTATACAACCGTACAATTTGATATATTCCGAAACAATCTTAGAAAACTATTAATATGACTAATTAAAGCCAAGCTTATTGATCTATTGCAGTTACCCAATCGAAGTAACTATTATAATTATGTTTTATTTATACGATTTCTTTAAAAATCTCTCTTTCTCCAGTTATTGTCGAAGGACCGAGAATCACCATCGGCTATCCGAAGAGGGCAGACATCAGTTTAAAAGATCCATCTGAATATATTTGAAGGGAAATGCACGCGGTCCACTTACACTCGACAAAGATATAGACTCGTCTTTACTTCAACAATCTTCGAGACTTGCCGAGCATGAAATATTTTGATAGGATTAGTGATGTGGGAAAACTTTATCATAAAGTTCTTCGAAAATCCCCGCAGAAGCCATTCGCAAAGTATTAAAATGCAAAATGTTTTGGTCTACATTTAGAATACCGGGGTCAAAATGAAGGAGGTAAAATAGTTTTAGAGGTACAGTACCTTTAATAGTTTCCTCTTTCTTATTCTATGCTCATGATAAAAAATCTAAGATGCATTGAATATCAAATACAAACGGGTAGGCCTCTTCCGATTTACATGTGCGAGTGCATTGACCGAGACAAAATTCATCAATGTAATATTCAAAATAATGTGTAATTCATGAGAGTATATCATGCACGTTATGTACGCGGATGATTGCATTGTGTCCTCTGTATATGATTTCAAATGGAACTGTTTGGATACAGAAGGGCGTTATCTCTGCGTCAAAGTATATGACTTTCTAACGTCTTTCTAGCCCGAAACTGACGCATTCCACTCATGGTTATCGAATGGTCTGATACGGTTAAAGGGGAAGTCCACTTTGATATCAAGTTTCTCTTTAAAGAAAGCAGAAAAATAATGATAGACACAAATTAGTGAAAGTTTGAGCAATATCTGATTAAATATAGGATCGTCATACATTTTTGAAGTTGTCATCAGGGAAACACAAATTGGGAACACTGTTACGTATCTTGCGAACTCCTCTCCCATTTCCCCTCTCTTATTATTATATCATGTAGCTACTTTTTCTGCTTCTATTAAAACCAAATTAAAACCATGGTGGACGACCCCTTTAAGAGGCCTGTGGAACATTTTTGTAAAGGTCGTAAAAGGAAGCTGAAGTTTATAGCGATGAAACTAATGGAAATTATATTCACAAGTGGAGGTAATTATTTGTCTGTAGAGGCTAACAATTATAGGATATAAGATGTTGATAAGTGAAAAACTCATTTAAAATTGTTTTACTCTGACGCATACTAGGGAAGTTGTAGAGTTCACTTAAAGGGGCACGTTCCCGCCAGTGTAGTTATCGCTGCTCTAGTCATCGCCATCTTGGTTCCGAAGATCGACTTCTCATTTGCATACAGCTGTCAATCAAAGTACGCGCGGCCTGGCCTGCCTTCGCCAAGCAAACTGATCGCTGCCGATAGTGACGTCACGAAAGTGGGTGGAAACAGCAGCCGAATCTTAGAGCCGAACTGCGATTGGTATGACTTCGGCACATGTGTGCGATAATCGGCATTGTGCGGGCATTCGGAACATGCCATCTGCGTAAGAGCCGTATTCTGTTGGTGTCAATAGGCAGCTAGCACCGTCCGCCAGCGGGTACGTATTTTGAACGCCCTCTGGAACACGGGGAACATGCCCCTTTAACATAATGCACTATAAGAAAACGCAATGTCCGGGGATCGAAAGCAGGTGACGGGAGAGAATGCTCTTCGGATTGGACGGAAAGTCTGAGGTCCCCTCAATATTACAGTTCTTATCTAGCAGTAGCACTGAGATAAAATGTTAGACAAGAAATAGTAGAAACTTAGCAATTTATGTATGGTATCTATCCAAAGATGACATGTGAATGAAACAAAGCGGGGCTCGAAATGAATATTTCAAAATGAAACAGGCCAGTGTTGCCAATAAAAAGTTGAATTGTACTTCTTTGATTAGTAAACTTTGTCAAGATATCTCACTAAGAAGTACTTTGTAAAATGTACTTTGTAAAATGTATTTTGTAAATCTAATTTCATTTTCATAGGTTACTCACATTTGCTGTTGTTGTAAAGAATACTTTCCATATTATATCTCGTATTGGTTTTGGTTAAATATATTCTGTTAGATGTCGCAGGAAAAACAAGTTTTGCCTTCAGAAATGCAGAGTTGATTACGTCATCATATATCCTTTTGCATGCAGTGTTAAGTCTTCATGTTTTGTAAATATTTAAACAAGATTGTTTTATAATTGCGTTGTATCAGTATCAAATCTGAATCTTGGCAAATACAATACATCTCAAAGTCTCCTCTTCCTCTCTTATCTTCTCTCTCTCTCTCTCCCTCCCTCTCTCTTTCTCACTCTCTCTCTCTCTCTCTCTCTGTCTGCATGTTCATTATGCCACTAGTCACGATTAATCTGCCTGTTACAATGTCATTTCCCCCCTCCTCATCGCTCCTCATTCTCTTCTTTCTTTGTAAGACTTCTCTTACCATCGACATTTAAACTATTGTACCTTTTCATCTCTCTCAATCTCAACGTATATGATATAATTTCAATTTTTCAGTGCGGGTAGGTTTTTTCCTGTTTAAAAATAATATTGTCAAATTTCGAGTTTTTATATTATTATTTTTTGCTATAAAAGTACACATCGTAGGTTTAGTTGTAAACATGCGTCCACGTTTATTCATGTGATGTGTTTAAAAAAATGAATAGGAGAATAAAAAGTATAGTATATGATATTATGTGTATAATAATGATTAATAAAGAATTATACTTATCAATTTGTAACTGTAAATACATGTATATCGTTTCTTTACCAACTTATTAAATTCCATTTCAGTGTGTCCATGGAAATGTAACCGCAATCAAAGTTTACTACGAAATATCGCTTCTATGTATATGTTAAAAATCATAACTCATACATTGTATGACATTTGTACTATTACCATGTAAAGGAAAATATAGCTATAGTTTATGCTTATAATGCTAATAATCATGCAATATTTCCATTTGATTTCAAAGTGATCGAATGCTATTAAAGATTGTCTGATTCTGGATTACTGAGATGTTGTGATGTTGCATTTATGATTATAATATAATTTAAGGCAGGCCTACTATTTGCGTTTTGATGTATGGCAGCTGTATACGTGTCAGAGAGAAAAGGGACAGCGACAAGGATGATGTGGAAGGAAATGTAAAGATAATATGACGTAGCCCCCCCCCCCCCCCCCCCCCCCCCCCCCCCCATCCCTCCCCCCCCCCCCATCCCTCCCCCCTTTCACTCGTATACGCTTGAGTTCGGGTAATTATAGAAAATGAAAGAAAATGAATTCGCACAGAATCCAACGAGATTTGCACTGAATGTTCAAGATTACTAATACATTGGTAGTATATCGTGCAATTACATGGAAATGACTACTCTACTGAGAATGGAATGCATCACACATAACCACTTTTAGAATGTTGATTTTATAGACTGCAATATATATGTTGACACGATTATAAAAAGGCAATGGTGATGATATTGTTTTTAGATAAACATGCCTATGGTCGTCGAAAAAAAAGAAAGGAAAGGGATGGATGGGGAAAGTTTGTTCGCCTACGACAAATTCAATATTAAATGAAATAAATGAATAAATAACATCAAAAACGGAACAGAAAATACCGAGAGAGAAAGAAAGAAAACATATACAAGCAATCACATAAAGATTAAAGACAGAAATTCTGCTATCAAACAAAAGTTCCTTTGAGACATTTTTGAAATTCAAGTGTTAAAACATTGATGAGGTAATTATATGTACATCCCTTCTGGCTACGGCAATGGTCTCACTCTGGAGACAAAAAAAATGGTTCGGTAATAATTCTTGGTAATACATGTAAATGTCGAGGCGGGACGTCCATTAAAATTTTACTTTGATAGCTGAAGAACCCCCTGATGCTAAGTATAAAAATAAAAATCTAGGTTATACACATTTTTAGTTTTAGATGGAGAGTGCTGCTCTTTACTCTGTCCCAACGGGAGGTAATGACCATAGAAACAAGCTTTGTATCTTCCTAGTAACGTTTCTAGTAGATGTCTTGGCGGGACGTCCATTAGGATTTTACTATGCCGGATAGCTGACGAATCTCGTGATGGTCAAGTTTAAAAATACAAATTTAGGTTATACACATTACTTTAATGGATGGAGAGCTTTGTCCTTTACATATCAACGATAAGCAAAATGTTCATCGGAACAAGATTCACTCTTCATTATCTTCATAAAATTGACTACATTGTGGTGTAAAGTGTCTGAAAGCAATTGGGAAAATTTTATTTTATATACATTGATGTATCCCATTAGTTTATATATATACTATAGAATGATCAAAACGAAACTAAATGGACTCAGTCATGTTGAAAATCATTTAAACCACACACAGAAATATGTACATGGGACTACATTTACAAGTGACATGAAATTTTGGACCACAATTTTCACCTGTTGCTTGTCACCCGTAGAATATGGAGCATTTTGCGAGTTTGGAGGTCAATCCTTTACAAGAGACATTTCTACTCTGATCTTCTCCTAAACTGACATGCATAGAATAAGAAAGCTCACAAATCAATTTGTAGCTACTCCATATCAACCCGACATCCTATTTTAGGACATGCCAAACACAGCCCCAAATGCATTTTCAAACAAGCTTAATGGAACGCTTTTTAAGATATAAAAACGTATTCGGAGCCTCAACTGACAACAAAACAGTACACTTTACATCTATTTTAAAGGATTTTCATCACAGCTTATTGACGAATTTCAGACGCCCAAGCCTTTAATATTTCAGCGGAGGGTAGTGGGGCATCGGCTTGTGACAAAGCTGAGGTGAGAAGATGCGTGAAGCGGATCATTGAGCATCAGCAGTTTTCAATGCCAGCATGCAAGATGGAACGACATTTACACTTAAAAAAGTACGTAAAGGTCACCTTGATTACTTTAATAGAAAAGAAAAGAAAACCAAAAGGTGTGTCGTCATCTACTCTATTGCCCTTCCCTATACAAATTATATAAATTCACCCAAACAAAACACCCCCCCCCCCCCCCCAAAAAAAAAAAAAAAAAAAAAAAAAAAAATCAGTAGTAAAAAGCATGAACAAAAATTGTATTTCACTTTTTTGTTACCATCGTCAAATTGTTAGCAACCATTATTATGTACATGCAGGCGCGATAGGTCAGTCGATAGAGCAGTGGTCTCGTAATCCGATGACCCGGGTTCGAAACCATGGCGATGCGCTAGTGCCCTTTGGTATTGGCATTAATCCTTATTACCAGGTCCCTCGGAGAGGACCTAAAGCCGTCGGCCGTCTGGTTGCTTACTTACAATCATTTATGCTTTCTTAGCAGTCAGGTAAAATAACCACCACCACAATCATGTATATTTACAACGTGAAGTTAATGCATAGCTATTCTGTAATTGTCAATAAACCCTTCTTTGAACTTACAATGTAGCTACATGTAATAACCATGACAAATAATCGGGGGAAATGCGCTTCTTAGGTATATAGGATAAGTTTCGGAGATGTTTAGTATTAGCGATAACATTAAAATGTAACAATTCCATACACTTATTAAACGACTTGGGTGAATTAAGGTCTACACAAGTGGAGGCCATGAACTTTTGGCAAAGCCTTTTTAAGGTGGAGTTGGGGTAGAGGGCTGTTGCTTTCAACTTTATGTTAAAGATATGAAGGTATAATCCTAGAAAAAACATACGAAAATAAAAACAAAAACAAACAA